CCTCTTCTTATGAAAAGTGTGCCTTTTGTTACATTTAAATTTGCTCAATTCAGAAATGTGTTCAGCTGTTATGAGTGTTCGATATGCACTGCTTCTTTCGCATTAAGAAATAAGGTAGCTTTTAACTCATCTCATGTATAGCAGTTTTTAGTGTATCAAGTCAAAAAGAGGAGAAAAGAATTGCCCTCAAACACACCATAGTGCCTCAGAAAGGACGAACACTTCACGAGCGACTAGATGGTAAAGACAGACAGAAAGTGAACTATGCCTGAGATATCACATATGCTCCGCTCCAATTAGATTTTAAAAGTCACTAAGTTTTACAGTAATTAAGCACAAGACAAATGCAACATGCCAAAACCGAGGAAACGGGCATATCTAGAGCCAATCTTTTAAAAGATGTCATGAGACACATCAACAGATCATGATTTTGCAAACCAAGCAGAATTTTACAGGGTCAATTCTTGGGTGAGAGACAGTTAAACAAAATCCACAATTAGCACTAAGTTATTCAACGATTCACTGAACTTTCCTCTGAATTTCTTATCAACTGGCATGACATTCCTGGGTGCAACATATGTTGAAATAAGCATTTTCCAAAGACTGTCATTGTTAGCTTTTGTCTTCTTTAGAATAAGACACTTAAACATACAGTTCCTGCCTCCCCAAACTTGTTCTTGATTTCAAAGGTGAACAATACTTTTCACTCATTTACCTTGACTATATAATGCGGTGTTCCCATTTACAACTAAAACAGCTGCCACATATCACCCACCTCAGCAAGAAGCACTTCATCAGTAGCTAGCATAACTTAAAAAGCACTAGTTTAAATTGCCTTTCAAATCCTGTTTGTTTTTTAAGCAGCTCGTTAAACTAAGCAAAGCTCTCTTGTGAGTTTAGAGATTATGTCCCCCTTTCTATGTATTTGATCATACAACCAGTCTGGAAAGTAAGCGTCATCCTGTCGATTAACACTCCTTGAAACCTTTTCCTCAGTTAAAACACAAACAGCTCCACAATCCAGCCCTACGGAATAGCAGATCTGCCAGCAAATACTTTTTTTTTTTTAAAAAAAACCTGCTGCAAACACTCTAGAAAGTAGGTTATACCTTGTCATTCAAGCAATAGAAGTGTGCCTGAACACAAAACCAGAAATGAGATGAAAAATACATTGTCCTTCTAATTTCCACCACTCTGCTGCCTGTCCATTTTACCCCAAAACAAGCACTAGCAAACACCCAGGCAAACTACATCAGTATTCAAGAACTACATCTTCTTCCTCTGCAAACATGATCTGGCAGTGCAAGAAATCTCTGCTAAATAACATCTCTCAACAGTCAAGTTACACTTCACTTTATTTCATGTTATTAGCTTTACTTCTACCTTCTTGGACCACCCTAAGGGATTCTTCTCCATTATGTTCTTAAAATACTTGCAGATAATCATATCTCCCACTTAGACATCATTTAGCCAAGTTTCATGCATTTCTTTTCATCTTCTTTCCCTCATAAATCAATCCCTTCAGCCTCTCCAGCTTTCTTACTATTCTTCCCTGAATTTCTTCCAAATTGCTGACATCTTTCAGTGACTGAGGAGCTTCCAATCGCATGTTGTACTCTAGGTATGTTTTTTGTACTCTAAAGGAAGATAATTAAGCCTTTTCAAGAAATAGTAATACTCCAATTCTGGAATAAATCTAAATTAGAGATTTCTTTTTTTTTTTTCCAGAACGGATAGTAATTATCCCCATTTCACAGAGCAAAGTATCCAAATTATTGCTGCACACAAACAGTGCCAGAATAAGAAACAGATCCATGTTCTGCCATTCCCAGTCATGAGGTCTGCCAAGTTTCAGCCCACAGATGACGTAAGACAACATTCCCAGGCAAACACAAGCCATTTCCAAGTGACTACGGAACAACACCTGGGGAGCCCAACACTTGCTCAAGTGAGCAGGCATGGTTCTGGAGGCTGTTGGCACCAGTGGGCACTTTGGGACATGGTTTAGTGGACACGGTGGTGTTGGGTTGATGGTTGGACTGATGATCTTAGAGATCCTTTCCAACCTTAATGATTCCTAGCTTTGACTTTCATTAAAAAATAATCCAGCCACCAAGGCAGGAAACATGAAATTGCTACTCTACCCTTAATTGGTTTAGTGGTGGACTTGGTAGTATTAGGTTAATGGTTGGACTGAATGATCTTAAAGGTCTTTTCCAACCTAAACAATTCTGTGATTCTATGTAACACCCTACAACATGCCATGGTCTACTATTACCTTAAGCAGTCAGGACACAAGTCTCCGATACATCTACCTGATTTTTATTGCTATGTAAAGGTTTGTTTCTAAAACCAGCCCTCAGCTATCATCAGGTTAACTACCCTAACAAGCTATTCAATTCCAGAGTTAAGATTGGTTTTAAATATGAGAGGACTGACTGACTGCCAGGCTAAGGCAGTCCAAGGCAGTTTTCAACTTGCACGTTTCCTTCCCTTCCCTCCCACTCCCCGATACATTTGTGAAGGAATCGCAGGGAAATAACTTCAGAAAAACTAAAAAGAGCTCTTCTCAAAAGAAATCTGTAAGAGAGACTATACAAGGGGAGGCAAGGCTAAAGAATGGGGCAGGGGGATGGGGGGGAGAAGAGTTTGATCAGTTAAATTGAATAAAAAAAATTCAAAATCTAAAAACCCACAAACAGGATGCAGACACATTAAAAAAGCAACATTGACCTAACAAAGGAATGTGAACTGCAGTTGACTTAAACAGCATCACAGCAATAGCCCTCCCCCTACACACAAATCTCTGCAACTCTTAAAGACACAGGTTTTTAGACCCTTCCAAATTCTGTGGGTTTTTGCCTCGCTAGCCACACTTTGTTTGATACTTTTAGTTTGAACTGATTTAGCTTATTGCCTCTTCTTTCCAGATAGCAAGAGTACCCAAATTTGACCCAGACTGAAGAAAACTAAGTTGTATTATTATGCCTACCTTAGAGAGGTATTGAATTCTAGTGTTCTACTATATATTCTTCTCATTGAAAGAACAAACTATAAAGGGTCCTCTGTTTCATGGTCTTCTGTTAAACATCAGAAGAATATAACCAAGATTAGATAATGAACACCTTGGTGAAAGGTATCATTTCTTCCCACTAACTCAATACACAGAGCAAAAGGCTATTTTCTAAAGCTGTATATGATTTTCTTAATGTGACTGCTGGTTCACAATTACAGCTCCTGCTTATATTCACAACAGCGACAAAGACTCCTTATTAGGCTTTTCTGTGTCCCATAAAGAACAGTTTCCTCCATCCAAAATGTGGAAATGGCAACGTAAATGCCATCCTCCTGTTGCTGTTCTCTTTCATCATATTTTTGCTTCTGGGAGATAAAAGCACTATGCTTTTAAGAAAGATATCATCTTGATTTTCAGCTTGAATCCTTTTCAGCGTTAAGGTCACTTACACAGCATTTCACCACCCACTTCAAGGTACCTATCTCAGTGAACGCTTAAAAGCTTTTCCATAATAGAAAATGCAAAACGCACATATATCTGGTGCAAATTCTTTCTTTAAATATGCACTGTGCTTGCTAATTAGGCTCTCAGACCTGTTTGCAAAGTTTAGCATTTGGTGACAAAACTGGAATTACAGCTAGGACAGAATACAGGAGGTTTTTTGTCTAGTCAGAAATTCTTATCTTGTGATAGGAAGAAGAAAGGAAATTTGCTGATGGTCAAAATTAGTACACTTGAATCAAACCTTAAGTTAAATGTAAAAATAGTCCATCTTCTACAAGAAATCAGGAACCTTCCGTTTTTTCTGTAGATCAATCGCTATGTGATTGTTTACTGTCATAGAACATCGTGATTTCTTTTCTCCATTTGTACAACAGAAGTAATCTCGCTCATCTCCCTAAAGAGGGCGGAGGATTAACTAGCAACAAATGGGCGGAACACACTACAGAAATACAAAGTACTCCTAGTATGGTTAAAATCTTATCCCATCATCTGAGTTAAATGCAGCACCTATTATTGCCTTTTGAAAAGGCTCAGAACAACTTTCCTACCTTAAAAGAAGGAGGAAAAAAAAAAAGACCAGTAATGACATTTATAAACTCTAGCACCCATCATTTCCCATGCTCGAACCTAAGGAGGCATAAGTCCTTGCTGTTATTCACCAAGGATGAAAATACAGTAATATATAATATCATAAAACCTGGAGACACAAGCAATAAAAAGAAAAACCACTCTCAAGATCTCCAAAAACTCATTTATCAAGCAGTTTTTGCTTGAAGGCAAGTTAGGTAATAACATGCACAACAGAGTCAATTTAAGGAACTTGCATCCACTATACTATATTTAATAAGTAGCTACAGGTAAAAATGATTGCAGTTTTATTTTCCTTTATTCGTTTAGAAGGGCTCTGGGTGCAAATCATATGTATATTCAGAGGAGAGACTTCCGCAAACCTTTCTGGGCAGAGCATGATTTCGATGTTACTGACACTCAACAAGAAGTCATTTTGAGACCAGAGTTTGCTGACACAGGAGATGTGGCTTCAGGCCATTCAGTCTCACAAATATAAGTCACAGCCGCCATCGCTTAATTAGAAGAGGTACAATCTACCAAATCATCAGTGGTCCAACTGAGTATGAGCCAATTTCAGAACTTCAGGAGACTACTGGTAACATTCAGACTTGCAATACGGAAAGATCCTACACTTGACATAGATAACTAAAAGAGGGCGGAACTAGATATAAAGAAGAAATTTTTTACAATGAGGGTGGTGAAACACTGGAACAGGTTGCCCAGAGAGGTGGTAGATGCCCCAATCCCTGGAAACATTGACTGGACAGGGCTCTGAGCAACCTGACCTAGTTGAAGATGTCCCTGCTCACTGCAGGGGGGGGGTTGGTCTAAATGACATTTAAAAGGTCCCTTCCAACCCAAACTATTCTATGATTCTATGGTTAGTATTTTTTAGCTGATAAGCACCTACCTGGAATTCGGATTTTAAATTTGCCACTTTGTCCAAAACCACCATCTATTATTCCATCTTCTCCTGTAGATAGTTTGACTTTTAGACCCACGAAAATCTGGATGTTTGTTTCCTTTTTGAACAATGAACGACCAATCACACTGTAATCATCCATCACCTGCAAAAGAAATAGGGCTTCATGAGCCTACAATCTAAAATGACAAGAAAAATTATACCCATGAGATACACTAAAGTTTGGTGACTTCTACCACCCTGCCCTTTGAAAACCATTTACCCCCAAATGAACAAAACTCTAGATGAGTCATATCTAAACTGCTGAGTTTGAGGCAATTTGTGTCTAAAACCATGGAAGACTATGTGAATGAATATATTTCTGCTTTCATCTCCTTTCTACTAATATAGGAAGAACAAAACCTGCCATCAGAACATGCTTTAAAGATCAGTTAATTAAAATCTCTTTTCTACTTTGAAACCTTTCCATAAAAGTCACTTAAGTAGCTATGCTCACAAAAAGTTTATACCATTACTTATCCTACAGCTAAGTACATTATCAGCTACATAAACATCCTTTGTCTCTTAGCTCCAGAACTGCACTCCAACAGCTCCACTTCCAAAGAAATGACAGAATTACTGAGTTTCTAAACAGAGCCTTTTAAATATTCACCTTTTACATACACATTGATTTGTTAAACTAAAAGCCTTATGACCATTGTATCCAATTTTAATTTCAAGGTTTGTAACCCAGTGGGAAGAACCATTCCAAGCTGAATTCTTAATTAAGCTATCAGGAACAAGAGGCAGTGAGGTTGGTGGGTAAGGCAAGATAAACAACCCTCCCTTAGGCATTACAAAGTATAAGGTGCAGTCAAGTGAGCCTAATCCTGTAGGTGTGAATAACCTTGTATACCTAACGCCTGGAGTTACTCTACCTCATAGCCACAGCAAGAACATTTATTTACTTATCAGAAGAAGTAAGGGGATATTACTTAAATCTTTTCAAGATTTTTTTTTTTTTTGGTGGCAAAAGCTGCAGCTCTTCTTCATATCTTAGGAGCTATTTTTAGATAAACCTGAGGGTTTCAAAGACCAAAGCGACTTCGAATGGTAAAGAATTATAACCAATTTTGAACATTCCCCTTTATTCAGTTTAAATGATGACTCAAGGTATTGCAGGTTTAATAAGCTACTCTCCTTCCCTGAAGCCTCTTCCATTAAGAGTAGTGCATATATAGACTCAAATCCCCAGCATTCTTGTTTATCACTTTGTTACATATGTATGCCTCTATTTTAATGCCAATCTCAGTATGGGAGTAAATCTAGCATCAGAAATTTAATCTTTGTTTTGTTTTAAATGGGGTTTAATTGCTTAGCTATAAACAGCCTTGAAAGGGCTGTACAACACTAGAGAGCACTGGCAGGACCACATGCAGGATGAGAAATGTCTACAGCCCCTCTTCCTTCTTTCACAGGGAGATGACAACAGTATAGGCAACTCCACTCCCAGCTGAGTGCAGGGTCAAGGCTGTAGAAGCAGCATTCAGATGTCTCAACAACATTCACTGCCTGAATATCCATGCCTCATCTTTTCCAAAAAGGTCACGTTTCTGGTTTTTTGGTGTGTCTGTCCTCTCCTACCCCTCCAACAAGCACTGCTTCAAAACAGCTTGTGAACCGTTAATGGTAGGATCACTGCTTGGCAACCTCTGGCTTAAATTTAAAACTGAATAATGTATTTTACTAGAGCCACTGATAATAGGTGGTGGTAGAGGAAGAAGATAAGCTTTCAGGCACATTTGCCTTCTTCGGGTCTGAAATAGAAGACTAGCAGAAAAAGAAGCAGTTAATTCCCAACCTGAAGAAGCACTTACATTCTCAAAACCTTCTTCATTTTTCCAGTTGCATTAGCTGGTGAAATAAAAATATTACTTCTTTCTATAAATCTTTTATTCCTAGAACAAGAATTTCAAAACCAAACATCCCTCTCCTGCACTGCTTGCTATATGCTTCCTACCCCGTGTTTGAAATACAAACGATCTCTTATACTCCAGTGAGGATCTTCCATATATCTATTATTTTTGTAGTTATCCCCCCCAAAATGGCACAGGAAGCCAACTTTGAAGATAATATAAACATCTTTTATTTTTCCAAGAGCACTTCAAAGTTATCTTTAACTTAATTAAAAATGGAATTACAGGGTGAGCAATCATACTAGGCTAGCATGGTTCAGTTTAGAGCCTTCCCAGCAAGGCTGTCAGGAAAAAAAAACTCAGAATGATTTCTGTGAACAAGTGTTACAGGCGTCATGTACCTTTGAGTAAACTGGTAGTAATAACCTACAACTGATGATTATAACAGCAACAGAATCCATCACTCTTTAGGTATGCCATACTCACTTAATACCTTTTGATTTTAAAACCCCTCATCTTCTCATCTTTTAAAAGTCAATGTGCTTTTTAGGGCCTCCCTCTTGTGCACACAGTTTAGCAAAGTAACCAAGGGCTCCAGCTGCACTGTTCCTTTTGCTCCAATGGTAAACTTGTTAAAAAAAAAAATCCTTCCTTTAGCTGATTGATATGTTCTGTCTGTATCACCATTATTCCTTGGACATCTCTATAGACCATTAGAAAAACAACTGCTTTAGTGGGGCTGAGATAAGAAGTGATCAGTGAATTGCCTGAGAGGCTGTTTGGAATAAAACCTTTATGACCCAAAGTCTCAGTCTCGTACACTAAATACCCCTACCCTGTGTCATCCACGTCCCCCTGGTTAGCCAATCACCAATTTATCCCTGAAGACAACTAAATAATGAGAGAATGCCTGGTGTAACAAGAACTAAGATAAGTGATCATTCTTTGCAGTAAAATAAATAGGTGAAGGAAAGATAATTGCTATGACGGAAACCTCATTTTCTCAATTTTAAGACCATTTTATAACAATAAAAGAAAAATTAAATTTTTGTTTTAGTCTTGCTGTGTAAAAGGCCACAGAAATGCATGTTGTTCTCTCCAACTGAAACTCAACACTTCCAATTACTTTACCAGCAATTTACCTCCAATTGCTGGATTTTAAGTTAATCCCCTTTGAGTTCTCAGAACATCTACAATGGCAATCACTTTGCCTATTAGCTGAACAGCCTTTAGGGAGATCTTTCTGCTTTTCTCTCAAACACTCTTTTTTTTGTTATAAAATATTATTAACTTAAAAAGACAAATGCCGCAAAGACAGTAAGGGATACGCAGTCTGCTCTGAAGCAGCAGCAAGGGGCCTAGCAATGAGGGCAGACTAATTTTATTAACTTCAGGGAAACTTCAAAAAGCTTTAGGGCTTTAATGCCAGACAGAGACGACCCCAAAAGTCAGTTTAAGTGCTGCATAAACAAAGGATTAGGGCAAGAAAAAGCTGAAGGCTCCTTGCATTTCTTGTTTATATTGTCATATGACCTAGTGGGAGTGGGAGAGGGCTGCCTCTCTGACTTTAATCCCCCATGGTGTACAGTGGCGTTTCAGTTCACTGACCTACATTACGATAATATTTTTTTAAATTTATGGGCAGAGGTGCAGCATCAAACTCACTTAAGGACTTTAAAAAAAAAAAAAAAAAAAGAAGGCGGGGGGGAGCAGGAAATACCCAGAAGAGAAAAATTTTCTGGCTGGTATCGTCTCCCCTTCTCACTTAGGTTAGATCAGCAGCTTAGAAAGGGATTTCAAGTTCAAAGGGAACGTCTCTGTTACTCTTGTTTTATGGCTTAGACCAGAGGACACAATAGCACTGACTTTATGAAATATCCCTTCCCACTTAGCTTTTGTATTTGCAGGAGAAAAGTAAACAGCACTTTATAACCATAGGTGAAGTATGTGCATCTCTGGCACATAACACTTTTGCTAATACCAAGAAGTACACAGAAAAAATTAACCACCTCGCACTCCCCATCTAAGCAGTACTTAGGCTACCATATATTGTTTGCAAAACCACAGTTAGTGTCACATGTGCTGGCATTCAGTGCAAACCATAGTATAATCCCAAGGAAAAAGAACTCTGGGCAGGGAGCACAAGCTATACTGTCCGGTCTTTTAAACCACTCTCATTTTTAAGATAACTTAGAAATTACTGTCATCTGAACCATCTCTCAAACAATCCATCACACACATTTTGAGAGCAAATAATTCCATGTCTTTACATATCTG